GAGCCGAACCTAATACATTGAATTAAGTACATGAAAAGTTCGGCGTCTGAATCAATTAGGAACGCCTGTTTCAATTTGGAACGGCTCAGCCGTTCTTTTCGCCTAGCCCGGCCGGGAATTTCGCCTTTGGATCGACTTTGGAACGCCTTTGATTCAAACGCCGAACTTTTCATGATCATGTACCGAACCAAATGCAGAAATTCTTATAACGTATTTTGTAAACAGTTTGACCGAAATGCACATTTTTCGCCTTCTGAATTTAGTTCGGCTGGAATTAAGATCGGCGTCTGAATCACTTTAGCCGGTCTAAATAATTTGGGTCGGCCTTAATTCCAATTAGGTTCGACTCATGAAAAGTTCGGCGTCTGAACCGGGCCTTACAAAATGTCTACCATGAGCGCTCGATCTTGGGGATCTTACGGAAAAATAGAGGACTATGAACAGTTTATCGGCATGCTATATCCTAGCCTCCCTCGCAGGCGTTTTTAGGGGAGCTCGTTTTTCATCCCTCCTGTGGGGAGGGATGAAAAATCCATGCTTTCACCCAGTTTTCCCTACCCCTCCCCGCCCTGTACCCAGGGCCCTGTACAGTCGTGTCAGTCCTGGTGAAGACTTGTGTCGGCGGCCATAACACAGCTGAAAATCAGCTGTGAATGTGGATGAATTTTGTCCTTGAAAACGGCGCAAACACGCAAAGAAAAGAGAGGCGAACATTTGGCATTACCATGGCCAGTATTTTGCAGGTAAGAAGGTTTTTAGCGAGCAAGAACGTTAGCTAAGCAGAAGTTCTTGTTCGAGGTTTACGTACGCGTTGTTTGTACAGTGTGTCAAAGTATCTTCCATCCCCTTCCTCCCTTCACGAGCTTGTTTCAAAAAGACCGAAAAATGTTAAGCTTTGTTAACGATTTAGTGTGAAAGGGCAGTCGATAATTGACACATTAAAGCAGGTTTTGCAGCACTAGCTCCGATCCGTGTACGGTTTATGCTGTTGCGACACAGCGATGAAGAACAAACATGTCCAGCAGGAGGAGACAGCGTGGCCAATTGATTAGAGCGCTGGACTTGCAATTCGGAGACACCAAGTTCAAGTCCCGCTCTGACTGCTAGCTAGATTTGTTCACGGTAGTCTCAAGTTCGAATCCTCGGCCACGGTTGTAGTGATATTTGGTATAAATACTATGATTGATATTTCAAAATTGTCTCAAATTTCACTCGCCTAACGGCTCGTGAAATTACGTATAACAATTTTGAAATATCAATCATAGTATTTATACCAAATATCACTACAAATCATGCTATTACCTATACAAACAGAACTTAATACATTCATATATTCAAAGCCTGAATCCAATATTAAAAACAGGGTGTCCAGTTCCTATTTTTTGTTATTTTTTGAGCCTATTCCTATTTTCTCCTATTTTTAAACTAAAACCTCCTATTTTTCCTATTTTTTAGCTAGTGAAGCCAAAATTTGTAACAAAATTGAAAATGGAATATAAATTATTACAGTTGTATGTGTGTTTTAGAGTGAGATTTATCATAAAGCAAGTAGTATGTTGACTTTGATGTTCTACTGTTAGCAGAAATAATAGTTACATTTGTGCTTTCCATGACCTCTATTGCTTATTAGAGTTCTGTTAACAACTTTGTTATATTGTTGCTTTTTGTATAAATTTTTAGTACACCCTCATGTATTGTATGTAGTGTCATATAGTTCTCATGGCTATTGTAAAATATTGTGCATAGCCCACTGAAACTGCATTTCAGTATCTGTAAATGTTGTATTTTATTTTGAAGTCTTGCTCGCTGTTATGTTCATCTTTGAATCGAAACTGAAAACAGGATCAAGTTGCCCTCTCATAACACAGGTCAGATAAGTCATCAATCAGCTTCTTGTTTAAAAAACCAATCACTAGCTGGATTCTGGATGCTACACGAAAAGAACAGTAGTAGTTTGGGGCACTACCTCTCTTGGTGACCCTTGTTAACAGCTATACCTAAGCAACTGATGATGGATCCAATATTTTGGTTCCGAAACCAGTCTTGCATCCATAGCTAAGCAGAGAGTTCGTTCTTTTTAGAACTGAACCATGACACACTTACAATCTGGTACCAAATAGATCAGTGTCATTTTGCATTCACCGCAGAAAGCCTGGTTACGTACTTAAAACTATGTGCTCTTTTGATTCAAACAAGCATATTCTCAACCAGCTACTGATGGCGGATTAATCAAAAGAAAGCTTTCCATAGGACGTTTTAGTCTTAGTTCGATGTCCTTCAATGACAACGCAATCGTAAGAAATTTCTTTCCTAAGAAATTTCACTCTTTGAAGCTTTTCAAAGATTGGCCGCCAACTTGAAGGGAATTTGCACATAATCACCTTTGATTAATATAGAACCACGCTCGACCTGTAGTTAAGTATATTATTCTGATTACAGGGTAACTGAGCCAATAAAGTATTAATGTTACTGATCATTTTCACTCCTTTTAGCCCTGAAAGTTGATCTAAATCCTGCAAACGTAGATGCGGAGGACTCGTAGCCTTTATCATAACCCTGATGAGGTGCCAGAAGGCTATCTTTGTCGACAGAAGTACTATTGATTTTCCTATTTTTCTCCTATTTTTTTATGCAAAGTTTCCTATTTTTCCTATTTTCTCAGTCCTGAGTTTCCTATTTTCCTATTTTTTTGAGCAACCATGCTGCTGGACACCCTGTAAAAATATTAAAATTTAAATACCTTCTAATATTGTTTATGCTTGTTTACGTCCTTTCCTCATATATTCAAAGCCTGAATCCAATATTAAAAATATTAAAGTTTAAATACCTTCTAATATGGCACAAAGCTTGTTTAAGTCCTTTCCTCATAACCAATTGGCCACGAAGGCACAATTGTTTCCATGAAAATCCTCTAACACCTTGTCCCCCATGATAGTTTGACACGCTAGAGATTTCACACAAAAATCGAGGGGGCAGTTCAAATTCCCCACCCCTAACGCTTGGGAATCAAATTTCCCCACCCCCTGGAAGACTCTGATAATCAAATTCCCTCCTCCTCGGGACGACAAAGGTGTCAAATGCCTGGGGTATCTTAAAGCTTCGATTTGATCGATGCATTGGTGCTATAAATACTGCCGAGGGTAAATAATGGAGTTATTAAATTATTATTATTAATATTATCCTTTCATTAGGCCTGTTTGAAATGTTGTGCTACTTTTGTGCCAAACTTAATTCAACATAACAGGGCTTCTGATAAGTCGTGGAAAAAATGTCAAATTTCATGGGAGTTTCAGGGACAAATCTGTGGAAAAATTGGCCAATTTTGTGGGAATTTTCAAGGGAAATTTCTCCAAAAGGCAATTTTGTTAAAAAACGGCCAGTTTTGTGGTTATTTTCAGGGCAAATTTCGCTACAAATTGATCAATTCTGTGCTGACGAGACAAGCTTTTTAAACGTTTTTCTAACAGAGGTCATCATTTGCTCTTTCAACAACAATATGCTCCAGAAATGAACCAATAGCAAAGCCTTTAACATCATGGCTAGTGCCCAGTCTTTCGCAACATAATCTATGCCTGTTAGTTTCAGGACGTTGTTTGCACATTTCAGTGATGAAGTTTCAAGATAAATTTGTAAGTTTACGGCAAGTAAACAGCCCCAATAGCTGAGATAAGTTTCAAATATGTTGTACAGACATGTATTTGATAAGATGTCTACTGAATTTTGCTGTATTTTGTGTGTTTTTTGTGAATTTCGTGGCTCCACGACCGTGCGAAATATCAGAAGCTCAGACATACAGCTGTAAATATGTAAGCAGCACGGCAGTAGACAATGTTTGCAACAGACCTTAGATTAATTCAGATGTGTTAAATGATTTTTTAATTTAATTATGAATACTTACATGTAAGGTGTAAATTAAGTCGAGCTGCTGACTTTTAAATCTTAGCCTGGGGTTGGCTTTTTTTGGAAAATCAAAATTAATGGTTTGTGATTTGTGATTGCTGGATTTCGATTGGTTTTGTTTGTTTCCACCTTTACTAAAATGATTGACTGAACAGAAAAACCCAAAATCCCTTTGAAGTTTGTAATATGTGCACTGCAATACAACAAATTTTGCTGGTTTTTTTGTACTTACATCTGTCTTGTTTTGAATTGTCCATGAAACAACTTTCTCTGTTTCTACACTGTTAGGTCAAGCTCAAGTGGCAATGAAGATAAAGACAGAATTAAACACAGGTAACAATATTTTGCACTATATGTGAAGGAATGATTACGTTTCGTAGGCTAATCCATTTTTCTAAATTTTATTTTTAAACATAATTATACTCAAACCTGTGTGAAGCAGACGCCCTTGGGGAAAGCTCTGGTGCTGGTCCGCTTAATACAGGGTGTCTGCCTTATATAGGTTTTGATAGAGACTGTCATATGAGGAGTCAAAAGTTTTCATTTACATTAAATAAGGGAAATAAATTTGGGAATTTGGCTACTGACCTCTTAAAAGAAGGTGTCTAGTCAATATGGTGTCCACTTGATATCGCAGGGCTCAAAATAACGACTGGTAAATGGACAATGCCGGGCCAACATGAACATTTGTCCAGACAAACTTTCAGTTGGCTGGTCATTTTGACAGGTCAAGCAATATTAAGTGACAAATTATATTTCTTCACATTAACTCTGGAAGTTACAAAAACGGTTAAATCATGAAATATTTTAGTTGCTTAAAGAGAATGCAGAGGAAAAAAAGTTACATTCTGCTGCTTTTTGAATGTGTCTACTTTTGTAAGTTAACGTCAAAGAGACAACAATCAGTGTTGCATCAATCAATGTCTTCTATCAAAAATGGTCAGAAATAAGAGTAGTATAATAAATGATGTTATTAGGAAAATTGTAGTTTTGTGGGATTTTCTTGCTGAGTCAGCATTTTGGTAACCGGTTTAAACCGGTTTTGGGCGGTTATGGGCGGTTTGTCCTTAATAATATCTAAGCCCAACCATACCACCATATTGAAATAACTTATGACTATATATTATTTTGGTTTTTGAGTCTGGATCTGGCTTATAGTTTTGATATTTGTTTTCATTATTTTGTAAACATGACATGGGAATGGTCGCTTGTTATTTTTTTAAACCAAAATCTAATCTATCTGTATCTGCTTTTTGAATCATTTCCAATATTTTATCAACTATTGGATCTTCAATTTATTATTTTCTTTTTATAAGTATCTAAAATAGGATCCAAATAAAAGCTCTTGCCGCATGTATAATCAGCTTTTTCTATTGTTTGTTCTGGGTCTATGATAACTGATTCCTTGTATCCTTCACAATGATCTGCGATTATGCCAGAACAAAGCAGTAACCCACGGCATGAAACTCTTGATTCCTTCAGTTGGTTTAATTGCTATAATGCTGACTTGAAAGCAGCTCTCGTGTGCTTTTGTATGACTTTTGATTTGATATTTGAGACAAGGCCCATTTCATTAGTCAACTTGCGTTTACTAAGGCTTACTCTATCATTTGGAGGAATATACATAGTTATTAAACTAGTGCCTCCAGAAAGAGATTGTTGTTGGGATAAAAGACGGATATAATCTTCCATATATATATATATATATATTGTATATATTCGGACCTGAAAAAATAGATCCAAATATAATAGTACAAAAATTAGGCAGTACGCTTTATGCAGCAATTTGTGAATACGTCATCAAGGTAAACAGTACAAAGTAATTTGGAGCCAAAAACATAGTGTTCGGTGATATGCCGGCAAGTAGTACAATATAATTCTATGTATTACACTATAATGTGTTGATGATGTTTCCTTAGTAAGGAATAGTTTATGGCAATGTTTGCACCCCACTCTTATGCCTTTCATATATTCATGCACCGCTTTTGATATTTTATCTTATCAGTAACACTATAACTAAGTATCTTAGCAATGTCCTTTCCTCGGAATCAATGATGTGAGCTCTATATCCAAGTCTGCATTATGGAATAATTTCTCCAACATGTATATATGTACCATTATTTTATACATTGCATAATTTCAATCCCCCCTAGTTCTTATCAGATAAATCTTAAAAATCCTTTAGTGGAACCCAGAAATTAAAGTCATCACTATATCCTTTCCAAGATACTAGAGCTTGTCTCTTCTTATAATTAATTTTCTCCAAATGACTTTATCAATGCGGAATATATCCTGTTTTGCCTTCAGTAATTCGGGTTCATAAAAGCTCCCTTGTATCTCCTTGTTGTTGAGATCCTTTAATCTGTAGGTGATTGGATTTGTGGATTGGATTTTATCAATCAGGAATATCTCTTCAGTTCAATTAGGTGTGTAGCCTTTATCAAACACCTTTCTTTTGTATTTACTTATCCTGACTTTATCGCCAACCTTGAATTTAGGTTTAGATGACAATTGCTCCATATCGCCATGTAGATTGAAATACAAGGTACTTTCATTCTTCTTTTTACTGGCTTCTATATGTGGCATTTTAATACAACTGTGTTTAGTGTTATTATACTGCTTCAGTATTTTTGGCAATATATCAATACATGCTGTGTTACCTTGGACAGTAAACTGCTTCCACATTTTGGTTTTGATGGTATGGTTCCATCTTTCACAAACACTAGATTTTTCCTCGTTTTCGGTTGAGAAATCTCTCTTCCACTTTAGCAATCATGTTGTCTATAAATTAGTCCTTGATTCTTAATTGAAACGATTTTTCTGTACCAGAATGAACTCTGCCACGTTGTTTCCTTTGTGTTCACTATCATTATTTTATTTCCATGTGGGAAAACAGTTCTTCCAAATGCTCACCAGGAGTATTTTTCTTTCATGTCTTTGGTCGTTGACACAGTTGCTTCTACCATTGATTGCATTTAATCGACCAATCATGTCCGTCTGAAAGACTTTGCTGTATTTACTGATAACACCAAGTACAACAAAAAGGAAGCAAGTGGTTGCAATAAAAACAAAAGATTTTATTTTTTAAATCATACCCCTTGCTTTTGCTGCCCCATTGTTGTTGCTAGATGCTGCTTCATGCTCCAGAGACAATATTAACAGTGTCCAGGCAGAATAAATGGCTTCTACAGCTTCATGTGTTGACAGCCACCATACCTGTGTAGGCTTCTTGAAGTGTTTTACCTTTTGATTCATCAGGTTCTTCAACTGAGTTCAGTTGGTCTTCTTATTGATCCATTTCCCTGAGGTGATAGCTAACTTCTTCTGTCTTTCTTCTTAACATTTTTATGGCCCATTCATCCTGTCAATGCATGGTTACCTTTATGGGGATTACCAAGCTGCCTTGAACCAGTGAAGTTTGTATTGCAGCAAATTCACATGAAATAAAGTTAGGCGCACGTTGTTTTCAAAAATTTTGCGTTAATTGATGTAAATCTAACATTTGGAAAATTCTCATTAATTTTGTGTAATGGTAAATTTTCTTTGCATTGTCAATGTGCATCGTTAAATTCCTATAATAAGTTAATGTGAATAAATTTGAATAGAATCATAATGGTGCCTGATGCCATAATTATTAAATAAAAAATGCAATGTTCAAAAGGGCTGAATTTTTGAGTCCGCCAGTCCAACATGACAGACTAAAGCAGACCACCGTGCACATAGGCACTTGTCTGAGGTGATCACAGCCATCTGTCTGCGGCCTATAAAACTCAGTGATTACAAGAATGAATTCTGTCATTTTTTAAGTGACACTTTTGTATCAAATACACATAGTGTTCTTCTCTAGGGCTACAGGAAGAGCGAACGGTTCAGTTGACTGACTTAAGTAGACCAATTTACTAACATGGTATTTCTGCTGTCTGCTTTGTGGTCATTGATTTTGTCTTCCTTCTGCTATACAGTTACTGCAATATAATCTAATACGTTTGCAGATGTTTATGCACATATATTGTTGTTCTTTCAACATATGTTGCCTTGCAATGATTTCTTAGGTGAAGCTTTTAAGCATTTTTGTGTTAAAGCATCTTAGTTAAGTGTCTAGTTTACAAAGATTGGCCAGTAATAGTACAAAGTCATTAAGCCATTTATTGCAATTAATGAATTAAATAATGTATGTGATGTAGCATAATGATATAATAAAATACTGATGTAAGTGACACACTACATACTAGCTGAAAACAGATGAGTGTATGTGCACAAAAAGAGTGATGCATTTTTTAACACACATATACCATGCTAAATGTCAGTCTTCATGGGTAATCTTATTAGCTGCACATGTACGGGAAATCACTCTCAAAATTGCTTGTTCTGCTCTTGTTTGAATTTTTATTACTGAAAAATGTGTCGGTAGGCAACCACTACTTTTATGTATTGCACACGGCTTATATTGGCTCTGCATGCACAAGATCCTGTTGAGCCCTGCCATACTCTGCAGACTGGTTTAGGGGCTCAGTAAAATTAAACTGGAGAATAACAGTTGTTTGCTAACCAAAGGAACAACTGAATTTAATTTCCCGAATCTTTATGAAGTTTTGTTCTGGCTACAGCAGATTTGGTATAAACTCTGTTAAAAATCTCAGTCAGAAGACCCCCTGGCCTTCTAAAATCATGGGGGGAACAGCGTGACTGCGAAAGCCTCGTTGTCTGACCTTTGGATTTTTGAAAGGTTTTGATAAAGGTCTTAAATCTTTGTTATGAAATCCTGAGATTTCTCAAGAGTGTTGCCTCTTTGGCTCAGTATACTGATATTAATTTTAATGCCAGTGTGGCTTCTATTTTCTCCCACATGGAATTCAGGTTTCTTCCTTTATGTCTGTTCTTATATTCCTCTCCATAGATTGAAATGAGAAGCTTCACTTCTCCTTCTACCCATCGATTGTGTGACTGCCCGGCACTTTTCGGCTTTGGGTCACTTGTCTGAATCGTGTGCCCTTGCAGTGTTGCCGTACTTTCTCTCGGCACCAAATCATACATTTAGAGCAAATCTCATTTGGAGAGTTGCATTCACTGGAAGTTGTACTGCTGTTGATACTGCTTCTATTCCATTATTTTCTCGGCCAAATATAAGCGGTCCATGCTGAATTACTTCGCGGCCGTGATCATCTGAAAAACTTCCCGGTGGGATTACAAAACCATTGCGGAATGGTGGAACTCTAAAATGAAAAGAACATGCAGTTTTCGTAAAAAAGCATGCCAACCAAAATCCATATGCATTTGTTTTCAGACAACAGATAGAAAAAATATGGCTACACGGAATAAAAAACACTTGAATTGAATGATTTACTTCTAAATTTATGCTTGACTCAGAAATGAAACACGAACGTTGGCGTATGATTCCTTGAAATCCAGAATTTACTGTGGACTTACCTCAAATGAAAGCAAAAATTGTCTGACTGCTGTGACATCTCTACTGTCATGTTTGTTGCGAAAAAAGGAAAAGAATACTCTGGCAGTGCTAAAAATACATGTATAAGTTTTCAGCAACATGACACTCAGGGAACGCATCTCAAATAATGCAACAAGCTGTCGATAAACAAAGTTTAGAAATATCAGCATCAAACCACATCGTTTTTTGAAAGTTTTCTAAGTAAACTTTGCTTTCATCCTACCGCTGTTGCCACCGCAACAGACTAGATCTGTGTTTACATAGTAAAATGAGAAAAGCCAGTCACATTAGAAAACGTGTTTACAGTAGTAAACTCAACTTTACTATGGTAAAAAAAGCCCAAGTGTGACCACAGCCAATGATGATGCAACCAGATACAACAGTGTTGGAAATTGTGGCATTTCTTAGCTATTTGGTATTAACTTTTTGATGAGCTTCATTATCTTAAGAAACCATGAAGAAACCTTGAACCTTCGAGTCTTCCCTCTAAGCAATGTTTGGTGAGTTGATATTCATAGTACCGTAACAATTTGTTTATTTTGCAACAGATGTCGGAAGGAAAGACAAAGGAAAGTGAATCTATAGTTCAAGGATCGACTCAGCTGTGCACGGCTGTTTGCCTTTTCATTAATGTACAGCAATACCTAGTTTCACGCAAAAATAGTCTTAGTTTAGGATTAGAACAGTAGATTGTTGACGCAGTTATACTGAAGCATTCAAAATGTCTCGTGCATTAAACGTGCCTATGTGAAAAAAGTGATCAAAGCATTGCCAAGTTACCGTTATCTTTTCTGAAGGCAGGAAGAAACAGTTTTCCTTTTTTTATGATCTGTGCCCCTGCAAGATAAAAATCACACTTTAGAAAATTTCATGACATGCGTAAGTGCTGTTAAACATCAATAAATAAAGATCAATTGATAAGTACACTGATATCTTAAGGGATATAAGTCACTTGTATGTGTAGGATCAAACACAAATTCAGAACAACAAATTTAATTTACCATGTCTCAACCGTGTGGCATTCATAGATGACAATCAAAGAAATGTTATATTCTGAATGGGGTTCCGGTGCTTTCAGGATCTCTGTAAACTTCTTGCATAAGCAGTCTTCAGCTGAAGCGAACATCATTTGAAACTTTCCTTTTGAGATATCTTTCAAACAATCCTCACTGCTTGGTTTTGAGTGAACCAATGCTATCCCAAGGCCATTCATTTCTTTTGTCTGCTCTTCCACAATGCCGATGAGATAAAGTGGAGAAATAATGAGGATGCTTACGTTTGCAAATGTTTGTGCTATGCCGAACACTTGATAAATTAAACTTATCCCAGAACTGGTTGGAAGTATCACAGGTACATCTTTCCCTTCCAACAGGGCTTCACTGCTTGAGTCTGTTCCTTTTTCAGGGATGTTATGAGACAAATTTTTTCCTGACTTACCTGAAGTTTGTCAGACATTGACAGAAATTGTGATTTTGTTGAGTGTTGATAGTGGCCTGTGCTTTTTTGACAGATGTTGACAGACTGCTATGGAAGAGCTAACCAGAGTAAAAGATTGTGAGAGCAACACATAAAGTCAAAAGATTGGGCTTTTTCTGCGGTCTCTCATTTTTCTCTCCCCCGCCACTTCTCGCATTTCTCACGTGATGCGATTTTCACATGCGCTTGCATTTCCCTCGCTCTGCTATCCCTGAGGGAAAATGAGGGACTTCTCATAGTCTACTTCAAGGCACACTTGACATTTTAGATATGGTGTTACTAACAGATATTTTATTTTGGACTGTAATTGTGTAAATTGCAACAAAACATTAATAATTGATTGACTTACATCCTACCCCTTTTTTATTGTTTTTTTTTATAATATATAAATGATAAATTTATTTTCACAAAAATAAGACATAAATAGGATGTAAAATTTTTCAAATAATATCATAAAACAAGTATTAGAGCCTCTAATGCAAAAGGCTTCTCAATACAAGATATAAATCCCAACAAAAGCAATAAATACAGAAACACAAATGTATGCACAGTAGAAATCAGCATTATGATATTCACCATGGCAGTCTCCTATCATGAAATGATCTGGTAGGTGCTCACTGGCACATACAACCTCTAAATTAAATGCTCAACTGTAGCTGTGCTGCAGTTACAAGATTGACCAAATGCCTTAAATTCAACATTTTTAGTATCTTCTCTGATGGAACTGGTACGATCAGCCATGATATCTAGCCCTGAAAAGTACCAGAATCTTGTAGTAAAGGCATGACTACAACAAATTTATTTTCATTCTTTAGAGCAGCTGGCATCAAAACACTTGACTGACAAATAGTCCACAGTTTTTCAGCTCAGTACTCTAGCTGTGCCAATTTGCTTATTTTGTCTTGTTCCCTGTTAAGGCTATGATCATTACTCCCCATCATTTTATAAGAGAGTCTGCCCTCTTTCAGGGAATTCAAATCAGCGCCACTTAGCTAAGAAATTGAAAGAAGACCCTTGTTAGGTGGCTTTGCTCAACAAACATTATTTGCTCCCACCAGCTTGTCTAGACTCACCTTTTCTGAACGAAATTTGTCCACTACTTTCTTCCTTTCAGGAAGTTACATACCGGTGTGAAAATGACCAATAAATTTATTATTTACTCCTTTAATTTTTTTAAAACACGGCTTCAGTGCAGTTTCTCCAAGTGGAACTTTGTTCATTCCATTGTAAAAGAAAAATTAGCATCAGGAAAGATCTCGAGTTGCCTTATTAGAATGTGAATGACAGACTACACTTTTACCCTTAACATCTAGTCACCTTGAAAACGAGAAAATAAGGCCTATGGTTCACGTTTTTGCAAATTCCATGACAATACAACAAAAAGTTAGACTTAGATTCACAGGCTCAGAGAAGTAGGGTTGTGTAAACAATTTCCATCTCCTCTTCCTTGAACTGCAGTGTTAAATCCAGGTTCATTGCCGATATCTGGAACCACATTAGTTCCAAGGACGTTGTTTGCTAATGTAGCTTAATGTACAGTTTCAGCATTCATGGTTTTAAATTTCCAATTAATCTTCTGGCTGAAACTTTTTCTCCCACCCTTACAACTTGTGCAATTACTATTACTGAATTGCATCTG